TAACTTATGTAGAATTTGCAAATTTATTTGAACTTGATCCTCTTCCCCCCACCCAATGGCATGAAGATTATAAGGGCGATGATATATACCTTGCTTTGTCGGGCAAACCTTGCCCAAATTCACAACATGCTAGTGCAATCCCTTTCCACCACCTCGTCCCTGAAATCTTCCAAAGATTTTCAGGGACTTGTTTTCTAGCTCGTCATGAACCTCACAACACCCAAACCAACGAGCTAGCTATCCTAGGACATTATGTTTATGGGTACGGGAAATTAAACATTGCTAGATACATCATTACCCATTTGAGTAGGCACGCCAATGCCTGTACTAACAATGTCAAGACCCTTATCCATTGTGGCGGCCTAATCACTAGGATAGAGATTAAGAAGGCAAGGTTTAATGAGTCTAGATACGAGGGGTTGACCAACTGTGGCAGGGATACTCTTATGAACTTGCCGTACTTACAATTTTTGAACTGGGTTAAACCTAACCGTAGCAAAGTCCTAGAGTGGCATGTAAGGGTAGGGAAGGATTACATACCCGTTTTCCCTCTTCCTAACCCCGAGCTGACTGCCTTTCCCCCTAGGCAAGATTCTTACACTTATGATATTCTAGTTGCCCATGCCCAGGGCCGAGCATAGCCTCGACCACGTGCACCATCACCACCACGGCCACAGCCTGAGGTACCATTACCACCACCCCATGTGCCTCAACCACCCCCACACCAGCCTAGGTCAGACCCCGAGACTATTTAGGACCTACAGAGTATAGGTCAGGCTATAGGAAGGATAGAGGAGACTCAGGGAGAGCTTAGGGCACATGTAGGTGACATTAGGAGGTTAGTTGGTTCCCTTGACCAGAGGGTGGGCTATGTTGAGCGGAACACAGGTAGGGGACTTTATCCCATGTACGACGACTATGCTCGTCGTGGTGCTATTCCTGCTGACTCTCTTTACCTGACTGGTTCCAGCCACCACCCCAGGGATACGTGGATCCCGACTCCCGTGGTATTTACACTGACTAATCTTCATTCTCTGGCTACGGCCAAGACTTTCCTTTTGGGGGGATGGGGGGTAATGTTAACCCTAATTATTTTGCTGGGAGTTCTTCCGGTGGTGTAGGTGGCAGTGGAGGAGGATTTGGTGTGATGGATGAGGATGGTAATGATTAGCCATGCTGGGCTAATTCCCGAGTCAATGAGGACATTGTCTGATTTTGGTTTGGGGGAGATTTTTGGATGTAGGTATCTTTCTTTTCTCTCTCTTTTTGTTTTTGGTGTGTTTAGCATAGTTTTTATTGCTTTCTAGTGCAGATTTTATTGCTTTGAGAAAAATTAAAAAAATACAAAAATATGATCCAATGAATGATAAATCATGCTTCCTTGTGCCCCATACATGAAAATTGTATGATTCTTGGTATATGATGATGAGTATTGTGGATAGGTTATCCATAATTTGATATTTGATTGCTTGGATGTCTTAACATGCGTTAATTTTGCCCAACTACTTCTGAATATAGTGCTTGACTAGTTGATTTGGTTAGGTATGTGTGTTAGTTCCTGGTATGTCAATGAATTTGAGTATTGGTTTTAAATTTGAGTAATGTTTATATGATTCACTATTATGCACATTGAGGAGGACGAAGGCATTTGTTCTCTTAGGTGGCCTTCAGATGATTTTAGATACATTTGTTCCCTTCTTGCTACCCATGTTGTTGCCTTGACTTTTTATTGTTTATTAGCCACATTACAAGCCAATTTTTCCCCATTGGTTACTAGTCCCAAGCTTGGCTTGGGGGAGTCATTAGTGAGTGAGGTGAGGGAGTTCGTAGTGTGGTGTGCTTACTATTTGCACAATTTGAGAAGTTGGGTGGTGTTGAGAAGTTGTTTGTTCTTGATTGTGGTTTATTTTGATGATTGTTGAAAGATTAATTCTCTTGAAAATATAGAGCATCATGTTGAAAAAAGTTCAAGAAAGAAAAAAAAGAAATCAAGTGTTAAAGAGTTCAAAAGTTTATTTGATTCGCTCAAGTTCTTAATCATCATATCTTTATGAGCAAAATTGTAAGAGTTGGAAATTGTTGATATAATTGGTTGTTTAGTGAATATTTGGTTGGGTTGAGTTGTGTTGGAGATGCTTGGTCATTATTTATTTTTGACCGTGGTTTATTAGGATTGGCTCCCTAAAGCATGGCTTTACTATCACATTTTCCCAAATCTATCCTACCTTTTACCCTAACCTTACGTTACAAGTTTTAAAGACTTTCCAACCTTTGTGCATAGAGTTGTATGGATGTGAAATTTATTGTTTATCAATGCAAAGGATGATTTGATATATTTCGAGTCGACTACTAGGTTGAGTGCATGTCTCTTTAAATACACGAGTGCGTGAGTTGGGAGGGCATTGTTCACATATAAAGAGGTTGGGATGGAGAGCGATTGAGTACATCTTTTACTCACCATATAAATGAGAGTTGAGTGTGTAAGCACTAGTCTTGAATTCCATATACACTTGTGGTGTGCTCTATTTGACAATTGTTAGGGAGGATGAGTAGTTGGATGGATTTGATTGGTTGACTTTGATGCATATTTGTTGGATTTGCCCTGAATTGGTTATGCTTGATTTTATTTGATTTTTGGGGTGAAGTATGTTTTATTTGTTCATTGATGAGCTCTTTGCTTTGGGACAAGCAAAGGTTTAGTTTGGGGGAGTTTGATATGTTCATTTTATATAGTGTTTTACCCCTGTTCCTTGGTCATATTTAGGAGTATTTTTTACTCTTCGGAGTCACTTTTATTACTAATACGCAGTTTCTAGTGTTTTCGTAGATTTGGTACTGTTTTATAGAAAATTGCAGATTTGAATTGAAGCATTTTCCCAGACTTATTTCAGCCACTACGAGCATTGGAGTAGGATCGTGTTATTATGACCATATTTCATAGCCCAAGATCGTGTTGGAGCAATCAAACCGGTGATTAAGGACTCGGTGAAGAAGAAGAGTTCGAGGCATTGGGCCGGTTCTTAAAGACCCAAGAGGAAATTCGGATTAGGCTAGTTAAGAGCCCAATTGAGATGTCCAAGTTGCCAAGAAGCTCGCCCGATCCGGGTAGCCCTCGCCTTGAGGTGCGCCCGGCCAGGCGAGGCACATAGGAAGAAGGCGCCCTTCGCCCTGCCTCACGCCCGACCGGGCGCGTGTTTCTAAGAAGAGTTTTGACGATTTAATTTGTTTTATTTTAATTAGGATTTTTGTGCTTAAGTATAAATACGTTTTTAAGCTGGATATGATTGCATCTTTTTCATTAGTTAATTTCTAGATTTTAGTTTTAGGCTTTTAGTTAATACTCTTGTTCTTTCTTTCTTTACACTTTAGTTTATGCAATTCAATATTTCCGTTTATTTTGGTAACGATTTCTTCCCTCTTATTTTCAGTAATTAATTGCTTTTATTTAATTATGTCTATTTTATTTTATTTGCTTTGCTTAGTTTAGATTTAAATATGCGTGAGTAGTTAATTATTTTCTAGGTTGTGGGGATATATAAATTATATGAAGGGGTAATTTATTATTGTTGATTGTTAATGCTTTGGTTGATTTCCTATTGATTAATTTAATACTATGCAATTAGATTAACGCTGGTTTAATTGTATGAGTTACGCAATATTGATTCAAGATTCGAGGAATGAGAATTGATGTTTAGGCTTAGTTTCAATAGGCAGGTTAATTTATAAATGGTTAAGTCAAGATTCGAGAGATGCGATTTAATACCGGTAGATTAATTATGTGATTGTAATACGTAGCGAAAACCCTTTATGATCTGATCAAATGATGCATTGATAATTGATTGTTGTGTTTTACCCTGAAATATTATTTATTGGTGAACCTATACCCTAGGCTTTTTATTATTGATTATTCTCTTAGTTTAATTATAGATTGTAGTATAATTCTCACAATTCTTACTTTTTTCGTGATAATTTAGATTGTATTAATTAATTAGGAATAGAAAGACTTGTTTCCCTGTGGATTCGACCCAACTTCCCTATCTATTTTAGTTAGTGGTTTTAGGAATTATTTTTGATTAGGTAATACGACTTTAGCCTGTCAGTCACAAGGCTAGATTTAGCTTATTCGGTGCATATTTTGTCACAATTTATGCAATTCCCGAAAGAGGAACATTGGGAGGCATCAATGAGAGTAGTTAAATATATGAAGAAATGTCCGGGTCAAGGCATCCTTTTGAGGTCTGATAGTAGTCTCCAGTTGGAAGGATGGTGGGACTCGGATTGGGCAAGTTGTCCCTTGACTCATAGATCGTTGACTGGGTGGTTTGTATTACTTGGGTTGTCTCCCGTGTCTTGGAAGACTAAAAAGCAATACACAGTTTCTAAAAGCTCCATAGAGGCAGAGTATAGGTCAATGGCAGGGTTGACATGTGAGTTGAAATGGTTGAAACAATTACTTCAAGATTTGGGTATGTAACATAAGCAAGGTATGAACATGTATTGTGACAGTCAATCAACACTTCATATCGCTAACAATCAGGTGTTCCATGAGAGGACTAAACATATTGAAGTAGATTGTCATTTTATTCGAGATGCCATTGAAGAAGGTGTAATTAGGCCATCGTATGTTTCCACGAAGATTCAATTGGCAAATATTTTTACAAAAGCCTTAGGAAAGGCGCAATTTGAGTTTTTTCTTGACAAGATGGGCATTCGAGATTTACATGCTCCATTTTGAGGGGGGATGTTAAGATAATAATTAGGAATATTGTATAATATATTTAGATTTCCTAGTTATGTTTATTTTATCTTATTCCTAGTCTTGTTAGGGTTAGGAATATCTCTTGTAACTATATATATTCTTCACATGTGAATGAGAGACCGAGAGACAAAAAGAATAGAGAGAAGAGAGTACCGATTCTTCGTTCTAATTTTTCTGAAAAAGAATCGGTACTCTCTTCTCTCTATTCTTTTTCTCTCTCGGTCTCTCCTATCTCTTTTAGGGTTTTAGATTTCTGGGTCGTTTAGGCCGGAATTAGTCTAATTTTCGGAAATTAGACTATTTTCTACTCTTTTTCTTTGATTTAATTCAGTTATTTGTTGTTTGTTTTGTTTGCTTTGTTTTGTTCTCTCCCTTTATGAGAGTTTGTTCTAATTTTGTACACTTAACTTGTAAGAGGGATTTTGATTCCATCTATGGATGATAATTTTATTTTTAAGGTTCTAATAATAATTGAGAAGGTGATTTGGATTCATATGAGTTTAGGATTTTCCATCAACTCTACGATCAAAACATCAGCGTAGATGCGAAGGCTACTTGGAAAGATGCGAATACATAAAAAATTATTGCTCACATCAAATTGAAGCGGTAGAGTATGAGCTATGGTAGATATGTAAAATAGTTATGATTTTGATTGTAAAAGGTATATTATTTTAAAGTTTTTTCAAAACAAATTCCTAAATATTGATATCTAGTGGTGGACGCTTATAGCCAATACGTGATTTAATCATGGACGGATTAGATGACAACTATTGACAAAGGCATTGTGTTGCCTTGTTGGGGGTTAGGATTCTAGAACAAGGGAGTTTAGGGTCGACTCTTTTTTTACTAAGCACTGTATTTATTATTTATAAAATCCCTATTCCCAAGCAACTTCGTCTTCTTCGTTACAACTCTCTTTCTCATGCAACTCACTCACAAACCTTACTTCTCTTAACAATGGCGGATCCTAGACCTGCCCTTCGCTCCTCAAAACACGCCCTAATTATGGAAAATTTGAGAAATTCTGTTTTCAATGTCGCTAATTCTTACTCAATTAAACCCTTTTCTCCCTCTCAAATTGCTTTCATTGAACAACAACTCCTTTTAGCTTTTCCTGTTTTCCGAACTCCTACTCATCCTACTTATACTGCGGTATGTTCTACCATTTTTATCCTTAATTCTTTGTTGAATTTTTTAATGTTATATTTAGTGATCATTAATTGGGTTTGCATAATTACCTTTCTGTAAAATTTTGTGGGTTTTTTTTTTGTTATTTTTGACAATTTTGTGCATTTTTTTTGGGCTTAAGTTTGTCAATGTTCGCATATTATTTAGGTATTCCTTATGGTTATTTTGTTGAGTTTTTTTAATTTAATTTTTAGTGATCATATGGAGTTTGCATTGTTGAAATTTCTGTTTATTTTGTGGTTTTTTTAAAATAATTTAGTTTTTAGTGATCATTAATTAGGTTTGCATAATTACCTTTCTGTTAAATTTTGTGGGTTTTTTTTTGTTTATTTTTGTAAAATAATTTTTGCCGATTTTCTGCATTTTTTTGGGCTTAATTTTGTTGAATTTTGCCAATGTTCTGCATATTTTTTTTGGTATTTCTTCTGGTTTCTTTTTTTTTTTTTAAAATAAAAATTTAGTTTTAGTGATCATTGATGGAGTTTACATTGTTAATATTTCTGTTTATTTTGTGGGCTTTTTTAAAAAAAATTTAATTTTCGGTGATCATTAATTAGGTTTGCTTAATTACCTTTCTGTTGAATTTTGTGGGTTTTTATTTCTTATTTTTTTAAAAAATTTTTTTGCCGATTGTCTGCATTTTTTTGGGCTTAATTTTGTTGAATTTCTGCCGATGTTCTGCATATTTTTTTGGGTATTTCTTATGGTTATTTTGTTGAGTTTTTTTAATTTTATTTTTAGTGATCATTGATGGAACTTGCTTAGCTGAAATTTCTGTTTATTTTGTGGGGTTTTTTTTCCACTTTATTGAATTATTATATTTTTAATTTTTAATTTTATTACTTTGTAGATGATAGAAACTGCGGTGAAGGAGTTGGATGAAGAATATGGGTCGAATGAGGATTCGATTTCGAAGTTTATAAAGGAAAATTATGATGGTTTACCATGGGCACACAGTGTGTATTTAAGCCATCATTTAAGTAGAATGTGTGAAAATGGTGAGATTGTATGCACTTCTGATAATCGGTATACCACACCAGCGTTAATCGAGGAGCGTAATTTGAGGGGTGAACAGCTGAAGCAAAGGTTGGGGAGGAGGATTAAAGAGTGTGCAATTGAGGGGAATTTAGGTGGACAAAAAGTGGTTGAAGTGAGTGGAGATGTGGTAGGGTTTCAAGAGGAAGACATTATGGTGTTAGGGAGGAGCAGGGTGAAGCGGAGAAGGCGGAGTTGTGTGGTTTTTGAAGAAGATGATGAAGCTAGGGGAGGTGGAATTGTTGGAGAAGAGCACAATATTTCTAGTTGTAGCCAAAACTTGGAGGTTGATAAGTGTAATGAGGCGGGGGGGCTAGAAGATGAAGATGATATAGCTTGGAGGACCCGGGTGAGCAGAAGGCTTAGTTCTGTGGTTGTTGAAGAAGATGATGAAGTTTGGGGAGCTGCGGTTGTTGGTGGAGGGCAGGATATTATTAACAATAGCAATAACTTTGTGGTTGGGAGGCATAATGAAGAGATGGTGCTAAAAGATGTAGTTGATTTGACTTGGGAAGCTAGTGAGACGTCTGAGGAATGGGGTGGTATTGAAACAGTTGATGAGGATCATGATCAGTTAGTTGTTGGCGGCTTGAAAAGTGAATTACTGCCTACAGAATGCCAATTTGAAGTGAAATGTCAAGCCCTTCCTTTAGACGATGATGAGTGTGAAAGAAATGCTGAAACAAAATTATTGGTTCCATCATCTGTGGGAGTATTGCAGGCGAAACATGAAAGTGAAGTTACAACTGAAACAATGTCCATGGATGAGGATAAGAGTGCTGCTGAATTGGTGCTTGAACCCGTTGAGTGTGTTGAGAAGTCATCCGTAAAAGATTTGGTCTTAAAGGAAAGTGAGCTTTTGATTAGGGTTGATGTTGATGAGGTGGCTGTTAAAAAATCAGCCTTAAAGGAGAGTGAGCTAATGATTGTTCCTTTTGAGGGCAATACTCCACTAGCTGCTGTTAGTGCTGGAATAAATCCAACCTCAGTGAGAATTGATCCCGTGATTGTATGTTGTTTGCCAGTCGAGCAAGAGCAACCACAACGGAAACGTTCGGTGTATCACACAAAAAAGAGGTTGAAAGCTTGCCAAAAAAAGATGAAAGTCTCTTCGAAATCCGTGCCATCTTTGCCAGCTTTAACTGTGGATCGTAATCTGGTTGATCGCAGCCAGCTACAAGAGCTTTCTTCTCAGAGAGGTTTTGAGACCAAGGTAACAGTCTTAAAATGTGTAGGAGCTAGGAGCAGTTACTCTTGTCTTATATGATGTTTCCATCAAGTGAAAACAAAATGAGAATCTATACTAATTATACTAAAATGTGTTCCTATAGTATATGCGTCATGTGTGATGTGACACCAACTTTAAGCCCTAGAATCATGTCACGTACTCACACCACCTATTTAGCGAATAATTGTACTTCTTTAATGAATACAGGGCTATTGTGGGGTGGTGCTAATCACTAGGGACTATAGAGGGGTTGTCTTCTTTAATGAATAAGGAGGTTTGTGGTGGCTTTTTTTTTCACAGAGAGTGGATGGTCTCTGCCTTAAGGCATTATAGAGGGGTGAGAATAATGGAGAACAACGTCTGATGATGAACTAGGGAAGGAGAGAGTTTAGGCCAGGGAAAAGATGTCAAGACATTGGGCTAATGATTATGTCTTTTAATTGAATTAGTGATTCCTTGCTGAAAGCTGGATTGATTTTTTTTTTTTTTCATTACATTTCTTTTATGATAGTCTTTTCTTTAGTGGTTGTGTATATGCCTGTGCTATGTTACTAGTACCCTTCAGGTACCTGTTTCGCACAATTAACAATTCAATAATTCATTTTGGACTAAAACACATGCTTCTGTGTAACAAGTGTCTGCGCGCTTTTACTCTTTCATGTTCATGTGTGACTGGAATTTGTCTTAATTTTTGACTAGTGATACTGAATAATAGTTTGGTGTAAATCTTTGGACTTTCTGGTTGATAATTACCAAATAAATCGGGATCGTTGTTTCCATTAGTTTACGTGTGTTACATAGGTTATTATTTTGTTCCAGTGAAGAATTCACGTCTGTGCAGGTGGTTTCCTGATCAGGATCTAATCTGCAGTTCCCATTTAGAAAATTGCTATTTCACCCCCAAGAATCCAGTTCTTATTGCAATAATCAACTTTTAATTCTTTGGAGTAGAAATTGGCATCATTCTATTGCTGTTCCATTCAGTAATTACTTTTAGAACAGATTCTTTGATTAACCTACATGTAAAATTCTGCACAATATCAACTTAACCTCTAAAAAGGTTCCTGTTTTTCTTTTCTTACCAAATTGAAAAACTTCATTGAATGTTATATCAGGGCATCCCCTCAAAAAAAAAAAAAAAAAAAAAAAAAAACAGTTTCTGCATGAATTGTGTTTTCTTTAATTTTTATTGATATCGTTGTACGTGTAACCATTTGACACAGTTGGTTAGGTAAACAAGAAAATATTGACCTTGAGTTTTTGTTCGTTCTCATGAATATCTCTAAAAGGTGGATAGCTCCATAATGTTTTACTTTGAATTTTCATCTCCTTTGAATTTGCCTTTTTCTGTTAAAGATTAGACAGCACTAGTTCTTTTAGTGGAAAGAACTATACAGTTGGAAAGATATTTTTTATGCTGCTGAGTGCCAGTTTTTATTTTAGTTTATTTATTTCATTTGTATTTATTGACGATGCTAATTTTTCAGCCCTGTTCAACTCTGTTGGAGTCTCCAAATTTCAAGGGATTACCTGCTGGTCAAAGTCAACAAGCTTGTACATCATCTTTGATTGATGGTTTCAAAGATCAGCTGGATAGGCAGAAGTCTCTGGACCCTTGGCACCACCGTATTAGCTGGGAAGAGCTTATATCTGCGGATGACGAAGAAAACCTGCCCCTTCAACAGGTGTTGGAAAAGTGTGGTAAGCGAAGAAGGCATGTAGCACAAATGCTGACACAAAACACTCCTTTAATGACGGAGGCATCATCAAAATCAAATTCAAATCCACATGTAAATCTGCCTAAGAGAAAAGAAAAACAACCACAGCAACAGCGACTACAGAAGAAGCTGAAGCCACAGGATCAGAAGTGTAGTAGTTTTGAGGCAGATACTGTTGCTGCAACTGAAAGCATGACATCACCATCACTTCACATGGTGGAATGGAGAAACAGACCGAGCTGTGTTGATCATGTATCTCAGATTGGAGTATTGGATATTGTAGAAGAAATTTCTGATATGTTGCCTCATCACCAGCATCTAGTACAAGGTAAGGATCAGGGAAGCTCACTACAGTTCGAACTGACAGCAGAAACTTTTCCATTGAATGATGGTCATATTTGGAAAGATAACCAACAGACTAGGGGTGACCATACTCTTCTTTGTGAACCAGAAAATTCAGCCAAAGTAAACACAGTAGAGTTATCCCCGACCCAGCATCTGAATGGGCAGAAAGATGAACTGTATATAGGTGACATGGTAACCACTGCTGTAATAGAAGATATAGTGTCAACACTGGATCAGAATTACCAGCAGCTCATCGACCAACAGGAGCCTACAGAGGAAACTACCACATCCTTTCTTTTGCAGCGTCAGTGTCTTTGGGAACAGGAAGTGCCATCTAAACCAGCATCCAATTTGATTGTTGAAGAGACACCCTCCAAACTTTGCCAGGTTAATAAGATCAGCAACCGTGAACTGGCAACTGATCAGCAAAATGTTTGTCCAGAGGTCGAGCCATCTGAATTTATTGCTACAGAACATGTTGTGTCAGATATTCTGCAAAGCGTGCAAGAAAAAGAAAAACACCGGAAGCAGGTAGAACCATCCTTGCAGAATCCCAAGCATCAAATAGAACACCAAGAAGTAAAAAGTCAAATTGATGGTAGACTTCAACCTCGAGAAGCAACTATGTGTACATTAGAAGAGGAAAATGTTCCTACAAGGCCCCAGAAACAAGTAGAAGAAAGCAAAGATGTCGTGCCTTCATTAGATGGGCAGCTTCAGCTGCAAAAAGGGCTTTCTAAACCTGCAACTCAATGGAATCAAAAGCAGCAAAACAAACAGAAGAGAGGCCGGGGAAGGCCTCGGAAAGAAGAAAGTGCAACCAAGGTAAAGGCTGATTTGCTGACTTTGCAACCTCAGGTAAAGAAACGAGGAAGGCCTCGGAAACAAAAAGAGGAAACCGAGGGAAGTGCAGTAGTTTCAATGAATGTGCATCTTCAGCAAGAAAGATTGTCTGAGCTGGAAATTGATCAGAATCCCCAACTGCAAACAATGCAGCCTAATAATGATGGTCCAGAAAGGCCACTGAAGCTAGTAGAAGCAAGCAAGGAAGATGATCTAGGCTCTTCAAACTTGCATTTCCAGCCGCAAGATGAGTCATCTGAATTTGCTCTTATTTCCAACACTCTGCATAAAGTCATACTGCTAGAAACGGATGGCCAGAAACAGCCGTGTATACAAACAGATGGAGTCAAAGAAGACGCAGTAGTTTCTTCAAATTTGCATTTGCATCTCCAAGAAGGGTCATGTGAACCTTCAGCTGGTCATTATTCTCAGCAACATACCAAAGAGATGAAAGAAGAAAACCTAGAGAGGCCATGGAAACAACTAGAAGCAGCCAACGAACATGCAGTGGCTTCTTTAAATTTGCATGCTCATCGACAAGAAGGGTCATCTGAACCAGAAAGTGGTCAAAATTCTCAGCCACAATTCAAACAGCCAGAAAAAGATTGCCAAGGAAGGTCACCGAAACAGATAGAAGCTGCCAAGGAAGATACTGCAGCTTCATCGATATTGCATCCTCAGAAACTAGCCGGGTTTTCTGAACCAGCAACTCTCAGCATATCACAGCAACACATCAGTGAGAAATTGCAAAGTGAAGTTCACAGGACATCTGAAACTGGACAAACAACACCACCCTCAGACGATGAAACTTGTCAACAGCTGAAGAAGCACAAATTGCACATTGGAGGTCAGCGTCCTAAAACAAGAGCAATGACTGCCTCCTCTGACAATCAGCCTGATCAGCAGCAAAAAGAGTTGCTCTGTCATGAACAAGAAGGAAGTCAAGGAGAATTTGAAGGTCAATGTCCTAAGACAGGAGCAATGACAACCTCTTCCAACAATCAGCCCGATCAGCAGCAAATTGTGCAGCGCCGTCATGACCATGACAGAAGTTGTGGAAAATTTGAAGGAGTTCAGGGTCCTAAAACAAGAGCAATGACAACCTCAGATAATCAATCTGATCAGCAGCAAAATGAGTGGCACTATCACAAACATGAGGGGAATCTAGGGAAATTTGAAGTTCAGCGTCCTAAAACGAGAGCAAAGACAACCTCCTCTGACAACCAGCCTGACCAGCAGCTAAATGAGCGCAATTGTCAAAAGGCAGCAAAGATTGCTGTAGTTCCGTTGGCCTCGATAGACCAGCTGCGCTCGAGAATAAAGCGTCAATCTCTGGATAGCACTTGAACTAGTCTCGTCCGCTATGCAGCCAGGTAAATGCCATAATTTACACCTTTTATTGCAAAATGTTCCACCTTGTGACTGATAAAACTAACCCATGCTTGATTACCCGGCTCGGAATACTTTATGTGAAACTCAAACTCTACCCGAAATCACTTGATCTGAATTTGACTTGACCTGACAAAAAATATAATAATTATCTATACTATATATTAAAAGGCGCTCCTAAACAAGCCTACATGCCACGTGGTGCTCCTCAATTAATCTTTCATTTCACGTGCTTAAAAATATGGATTGTACAAGATTTGAATCCACAACCTAAGTTTAAAAACTTAAGTGTTAGCCACTTAAGCTATCACCATATACATGTCTTCTACCAAAATTAAATATAAATAAGGATTTCAATTATGGAATAATGCAGTCAGGGCATCGCCCGGGCCTAAAAACTAGTTTTATCATTAAAGCATATTGGCAATGGAGCCATATATGACCTACCTGTAAAGTCAACCCAAAGATGATCAGACCCAAACCTGAATCAACCCAAAAGTGATCTGATCCAAACCTGAAATCAACCCAAAGGTAGTCCGACCCGAACCTAATATCGACCAAATATGATTTGACCCGAACTTGATTGCAAGTGGTTGAATTAATATCTAATTTTTGCTGAAGGACAAATCTTTCTATACTGCATTAGTAATTCTTCATGGCGGACAGCTGAATTACCTGACTAGTATGATCTTTTTTATTAAGTAAAAGACTAGTTTGTGCGTGTATAAGAAATGGTCTTAAAATTTTATTGTCTAATCCAACTTTATAATTTTAAATGCATTACATAGATAATTTTGGCATAAAATTAAAAAATTTCAACTATTATAAAAATAAAACTTTCAAAATTTAATTTTTTGGCTCCTTTTTAGTCTTTTGTCATATTCAAATATCTTGATTGAATTTCCTTTGTTTATTTTTTCTTTTCATTTTTGTCTAGTTTTCTCTCTTGATCGTGGCTATCTTTTTTTTCGGTTGCATGACTGTAAATTTGTTCTTGGTTTCCTTTTTCTCATGCTAGAAAATTGATTTATAATTTTTAATTATGATTTATGAACATCTTGTTTGCCTAATTCAAGGTGAAAACGATTGAAATTTCCTCTTTTTCCTTTTTTTTATTGGCTCATTTCTTAGTCTTTTCTCATGCTAAAATATAATTGAAATTTACTTTTTTTTTTCCTTGTCTTTTTGGTTTAATTTTCTCTTATAATCTTGTTGTTTTTATTCCCTGCATGATTATTGATTTGATCTTAGTTAAATTTTTTTTGTTCTTGTACTATTTATTTGAATTACTACCTTTGTTAATTTTTAGTTGCATCAAAGCGGTATTATTTGTGAGTAGTGAAATTGCTTTGTTGCAACTAAAAATTAATGAAGGTAGTACTTTTTTTTTTGTTCATTTTTCTATCTTGATCTTGGTTTCCTTTTTTGTTCCCCCTTTTTTATTGATTGGTGCGTGATGAGTGATCACTAGTAAAATGCTTGCCTTTTACATGCAAATGATGTGGCATACTTGATATTTTGAGAATGGATTGAGCCTTAGCCTTTGCTTAATCATCATTCGCCCACACTTTGAAATAATAATATAGATTTGCATTAATTCCTAGTTTTACCCTATCCTTTTGATTTTTCTGAAAAAAACTCTCATTAGATTAATTGGTTTAACTTTAGTCTTATGTAACATGCATTTGGAGCTAGACACTTTAAAAATTGATCTCAAGTACAAACTGAATAAAAGGAATTACAAAATGAATAGTTCAATTTAGTTTGGACATCCCTACCCTTAATTCAAAATGAATAGTTCAATTTAGTTTGGACATCCCTACCCTTAATTTAAGGGTGTGGTCATGGTCTAATCCAGATAAAGATCATAACACTTTCTTTTTTTTGGTTAATTATTTTCTTGTAAGGTTTTTAAGCTGTGAGAGAACATTTTCATCTCTATATAGTTGTGAGAGAGAGCGTGGATTTTCCTTTTCAAGGATTATCATGTAAATAGACATCTTACTATCTTAGCAATTAACTTTTTAGAATGTTGCTAAATTTTTTTTTATTTTTTATTTTTTTTTATTTTTGTTTTTGAAAGGAAATATATTTTAGAATGTTGCTATTAGCTCAACTATGGTGGCGTAAATGTGCAGTTGTGCAGATCTTTTAGAAAAATTAGAATTGCCTCAAATGCATGCCGTAACATAAGTTATAAATTAAAGCTTAATATCCCTCAAGTTAAAGAAATATATCAAGCCAAAACCTCAACTTAGGGATCAAACATAATTATATGTGTTTTCTATGTCTATTATGGTTAATCCTGCTTAGGAGGATTTTTTTCGTGCTTTACGCATCAAGACTGTTTGGAGATACAGTAATAATCTCTTAACTAGATGTGTTGCTGGTTTGCTGACAGTCCATGTTTAACTAATTTTAAATCATCTAAATTCTAAAGTTGCTTGTTCACGCTTCTTGCCTGATGAAAGTGCCAGATTTTTTAGCCGAGGAAGGAATTCTGATGTGGTTTTTCAAAAGTCAATTTTCATCTATCCTAGTACTACACATTTCTGTATCTGCATATCAATAGTCATTAAAGATAATCTAGTCATATTCACCCAGCCACTCAGTACGTGAGTTACTAATTTCCCTTTAATAACTATCATTCCCTCTTTCTTTCCATCACTTTTATAGGGCAACTCAAGAAGTTCTTCTATGAACTGTTATTATTTCAGGATACGTGACAACTTTGTGGACATCCAAGACATTGTGTTTAATTGTTATTTCTGGATGGTCTAGTGCACTTCTAACTCATTTGGAAACTTTTTAGATATAATCTGTAACATATATGTGACGGTTTGAAATTTTGTTTTACTATACTATGTTTTCTTATGAAAACTAGCAGTCTCATGTATATGCCTAGTTCATGGAAACAAACTCAGCCATTAAAAGGGGTGAGATTGCTTAAATCTGCCTGACAGAGCATATAACAGTACTTTAAAAAGGTCTGAGGGATAATATAGTATGCATAGTTGAATACTAAACACCAGGCGTGCTTGACATGGTCTTTAAGTTTGTATATAATACCTATGACACGTTTGATGTTCACTGTTAGTGGGCAAATTGTTATCATGAATGTAACTTAACTGGTTGACACCATAGATGTGTATAGATGTTTCAAGGTTCTCTGCATGCATAATTAATCTTCTATTCTCTATTGTGTATGTTGCAGGATGACAGAATGAAAATAAAAAAGAGCAAAGTGTGGAAATCAAGATAATGGTGGATTCAGCTGTAATATATTCTAAAATATTTACTGCAGGCCGGACTATCCTCTGGGTATTGTCTGTTTTGTTGTGTGTATGTAGGCTTTCTAAGCCACGTAGTATTTAGTAGATACATCATAATTCATTGTCTGTTAGATTGTTGTTACGTTAGCAACTTCTAACCTTGTACGATTACATGTACAGTATGGCTAATTTTCTTTAGGATAGATCAGGAGTGACCGTTGAGCTTGTTTCTGCCAGAAATCTTCCACCGGTGTTTGGTTAAGTTGAATGTTTGGTCCTTCAATTTCATTGTGTTTACAAGTTTTGTATGGGGAAGAAGATTGCGTGCTTTGCCTTTTCTACGTTTGAGAAACCAAATTACTTGCACATGATATGGTAGAGCCTCAAACCTTCCAAGAATTTTCTATTCAGCAACTTATGCCTCGCTTTCAAAATAACCCCTACAAGCCATTGGCATAGAGCCTTATTATCTTTCCTCCTTTCCCTATTGTTAATTTGTTATCCTACCTTACCCAAGTTGAGCTTCTAATTCTAGAGGCAATTGTTACAGTTTGAAAACATCTTTGGTTTTCCAATGTAATGTCTTGCTACCGAATTTACCAGTTGAAATTATTATAATTACAATATACAAACCCGTTGTTGATAGATTGATGCTTTATTTCCACATCAACATTTGCTCAAGTACTAATAGAACAGATTCAAGTTAACTAATAACAGTACTTATTGAAAAGTTAATGCAAATGCAAAATAGCAAGATGCACTTTGTATTTAAGCAAAATAGCAATAAGCAAAAATAAAAAGAGTTTGTGATACCCTGCACATGTACATTAATTCTGCATTTCAGAATTAGTTTTGAGACATAAGTGTACAATAGAACATCATAGTAAAACATTTCCAGGCAGGATTTCCTTGAGGGCATGTTATTTATGGTGCGGAGCCAAGGTTCATTATTAGCTCATGGTATTTGTAGTAAAAGTTTTCCAGTCAAGTTTTCCTCGAGGACTCTCATAGTAAACTTTTTATCCACTTCCATCGAGCTGCCCATGTGAAAGAAGATGAGCCATGTATTGCTGTCATCACAGAAGATTAGACAGTTTAACACCAAGAAATTTTCTTGATAGTAACATACGGAGTGAAGGACAAGAAGAGCGTTCAATGAACTTCATAGAGTTTTTAGCAATCATACAGCTCTACCACAAGATATGTCATACCCACAAAACATTATATTGTAACAGAGTATATAAGCAAACTCACAGCATGGTAAGCATATGGTGATTTCCCCTGTCGCTCAAAATGTTTAGCCATAATGCAAAACTCTATAGGCCCCCAATCCTCCACTTCAAAGCAATTGCCAAGCGCAGCTTTATATAACTGCAAAACAAATTTCACAAGTATCAGATAATGAAGCCTTAAAAATACACAAGTTCCCAGATGGAGAGGGACTCGACAATTATCAGTTCTAACCTTTGCAGTGTCTGTTAGCATTTCTGTTCCTGCAGGATAAGATGCGTAGAATTGATCACCTCTGGAATACCCAGCTCTCGTGCTTCACCACCAAGAACAGAAAAGGCATTATTATTCCTCATCAAATCATCAAAGCTCATCCCACAATAAAAAATTAACCAACATATAAAATTTACGTGTTGTTGGTATAAGCATAACCCAATACTGCCGCAAAACAATAAAATCCACCATAAGAGACTAGCCGTCGAAATTTCTGAATCTTCAATATTTCATAGCAAGCATCATATACTCTCATCATATGCCCACTACTTCACCTAACTTCAAATGCCCGAAAAGAAAAAAGAAAGCAGCATATGTTAGCATCATTAAGTACAACAACCAAACCTTATTGAAACTATGAACATGTGATACAGCACAAATATGCAAATAAACTACTAGTGCATAAGATTACACTATTATATATTAATATCTCAAGAACCCTTCAAAATTGGCAAATCAATGAATAAATCATAATTATTCGCGGCCATTGCAGCGTGAATTGATCAGAGCTGGGACTAGAGCCAAACAATTGCGGATCCAGGATTTCCGGATGGTGGGTCACAAATAATTATCAACCACCTGTCATAATTGATTTCATTCCAAAAAATTTTAAAAAAATTCATATGACAACCAATTGTACCAAAAATTCAATATTACAAGTTTACAACTAAATAGTATGGAGTAGAAAAAAATCCATATTACCACCAAACAAAGAACACTAGAAACTATTACTGTACAATTGTTGGCGATGGATTTTCATGTTTAAAGCTGACATTAACAACTAATCTGAAAATAGCACCAACCATATGATCAAGCTTCAACAACTCAATTTCATAGTTGAATCCTAACATTCAAGGGTTGTGCAATACACTAGCAACAAAATTTGATTCAATCATCTCGAAAAAATCACATAATTTTAGGGATATGTGATTCAATTAGGCTCATAGTTTTGTTTTCATAATGTTAGTATTTAGAAGCAATAGTTGAGATTTTCGGACCCTAGATTGTGAAATTGAATACAAAACGAAACAACTTACCTCAGAAGCTGCTTCAATGATGGAGAACGTCAAGTGCGATGTGAGCGCGCTTCAATGGAGAACTGAAAGAGAAAAGGAGGAGTCAAGGCTATGTGAGTCCGTTTTTTTTTTATAGGAAAATGATAAATATAACTCTAACGGAAATATTGTTTAATAAGCTAAAAAGAAGGGAAATATTGAGAAAAAAAAGTAATATTAATTACACCGATTTATGTATGATTTTGTCATGAATTCTCAACTTAATTTCATTTTAAGAAGTATATTAAATGCTTATATATAATCCTAAGGACTACATATATCATTACCCTTTTTTATTTTAGACAGAGCAATTCAATGGGTTGGAGGTCTTGGAGTTTGTTTGGGGGTAAAAATACCCCTGACAAATGGACCAATGCTAATGCAGCACGTGTCCCAATGGCCTGCTGACACATGTCAGCCTCAGAGAGACCCAGGGGGATCCAATCCTCTCCTGACATGTGTCACCTGAACCCTAGAAGGGGAGTTGATCCCCTTCACTATAAATAGAGGAACCATCCTCATTTATTGGGGACTCATTATTGAATACGCATTCAATCCACACAAAAACCGAGCAATATTCATTGCAGAATTCTCTCTGAATCAGAGAGAAGTATTTACATTCCGCACTATACTCCTCATACGCGTTCTAACTTGATCGTTAGAGGCGGAACTCCCACCCTTGGGTGTCTACGTGGTTTTGCAGGTACAGGCAGCCGGAGGTCAGTCTCGATGTTGTAACTCTCCCGCAGGACACATAAAAAAACCCCGAAACATTGGTGCCGTCTGTGGGGAGAGTATTGCTGAGATGGTTTCACAGCAGTCTGTACTGCCTGTTGATAGGAGGTGGCCTATGATCGAGGTCAAAGACCAGGTGCCTCCTCCCCATCTTAAATGTCCGAGTCGACTTCAATGTCGACTTACCCAGACAGCTTCTAGAATACCTCAATGAGGCATTCACAATCAAACCGAGGGGGTTAGTCAGGCGGCTTGTCCATCCATTCTAGTCCTCAGATAATCCATTCGGCACAGTATGCGCTTCAGCAGCCATTCATGCCGTGTGGACAGTCATGTATGCAGCCGACCCTCCTCAGGGGGCAGGCGGCACAAAGCGTCCAACATCTTGACAGGCAGCTCCGTCTGCTAAAAGTTGCTAAACAACCTTGTGTTGAGTCCAATTGGTACTTCCATGCGTGTGAGCAGGGGCTGCTTAATACACAGTCGTCCCCAGGCTCCTTTGTAAGCATACCATACAGGCGGCATCATAGGCAGCCGACCTGCTCTAACCACACATCCGGCTGTGCATATGTGGGACAAGCAACATGCAACTAGCATGACATCCAATGGGTATAGTCGGCATCCAGCTACTAAGCAACACAAACATCCAACCGGCATAGGCGCATGAGCCTTGAACGCAAGAGCTAAGGGCTTGTTATCTCAAGCACATACAGCCGGCATGATATCAGCCTCCGAGCATCCGGCCAAGTGGCCAAGTACCACAGGCGTCGTGAGGCCAACTGTCTAGTACATGAGGCATCATAAGGCCGAGTGTCAAGTGCTACAGGCGAAACATGAACGAATGTCAAGGGTTAGCCGGTCAAGATTGTAAGCTATTCTTACTATCATATCATTATTATGATTGTAAAAAAAAAAATAATAAATAAATAAAAAAAGCATGATTATTTTAGTAGAAAAAGAAAAGCATGTAGTACTTAAATACATATTATACATGTGTAGCATGTTATTTAAATTACTAGCTGATTAGGGGATTTTTATCCACCAATCACCGTCTGACAAGTGGACCAACCAGGTTCCGCCACGTGTCCTTCACGAAGGCCAATAGGAGCCTGCCACGTGTCAATCACAGATACGTCCTCTACGGACCAATCGAGGCACGCCACGTGTCCACCCATGCCAAATGGGAAAACCGGCCAACAAGGCCCAATCCTGTCTAGAGGCCCGGTCAGCCCTAGGTTTACCCTAAACCTAGAGAGTGGCACGCTTCTCAAGACTATAAATACTTAATTAATCCTCATTAAAAGGGAGCAGGCAATTGAGAGGCAATTGATCAAGCAATTAATCTCACCTGAAGAACAGAGAAGAACAGAAACATTACGGAACACTAATAACCGGCTAATCTCGCTAACAAAGCAGATTACCAACATTAAACACTCTCACCTAGAGAGGTCTTATTACTTTAATTTCCGTATTAATTACTCCTTAATCAGGTACTAACTTGACCGTTGGAGGCGGAGCTCTCAGGAGTCTCCGTTATTTTGCAGGTACAGGCGTCCGGTTCCAGTCTCGGAATTGTAACTCTCCCGCAGGACATCAGAAAACCCCGAAACATTTGGCGCCGTCTGTGGGGAGAGTACTTCAGAGATGGCATCCAAGTCTGTACCGACTCCTGAAGAGAGGCGTCCCCTAAACGACCCTCAAGTTCAGTCGGACCATGACACCGAAAGTGAATTTGAAGTGGAAACTCATACAGCTCCAGACGGGACCCTAAGGGCCCGACGTACCCGTCATACCGAAAGGAGGGAACGGGAGCATCTTCAAACAGGAAGCGAGCCAGCAGGCGCACCGCCTGCTCGGCAACAGCCGACTGATGGGTCTGCTCCCATCACAAGGAACGAACTCATGACCTTCATGAGGGACTTCAAGGGAGAGATTCAAGAGTTGATCAACAAAAAGCCGCCTGCTTCAGTCAAAGAGCAGTCGGCCAAAAAACCTTCCACTTCACTGAAGAGGAAGCCAGTTCAAGGGCGAGAGGCGACTCCTCATCCTAAATCCAAGAAGCGGGAGCCACCTGCTCTTGATTTCACAAAATTCCGTTATCCTACGGGAAATAGGAAACCGGTTCGTCATATTCAGGCGGACGGGTCAAAGCAAACGTTCACAGATGCTCGGCTACTGCTAGAGCAGAAGAAGAGTGACCGATTGTCAGAGTCGGCTTCTACTTCAAATTTTCAAGACAGTTTGCGAAATGCCTCGATGAGGCATACTCAGTCGTACCATGAGAGTCAGTCAGGCGGCACCTCCCGTCAGTCCGGCTTTCATAGTGCCCAGGCGGTACCAAACTTACCATTTGTGCCGCAACAACAGTATTTTATGCAGCCACCTCCATTTGGTGGACCTGCAGCAAAAAACGTCCAACCTATGGACTGGCAGCTACGGTTGCTTAGACTTGGTGAACAGCCGTCGGCCTTCTCCAAGGAAATTACTGAAGCCGCTCAGCCGGCCAAAGTAAAAAATGTACTAGTAGGCGCCTATGACGGCACTACTAACCCAGAAGACCATCTGATGGCATTCACCAACCTGATGTACCTTCAAGGGTTGGATGATCCCACTTGGTGCAAGTGTTTCCCAGCGACTCTCAAGGGAATCGCACAGCAATGGTTCGGCAACCTGCCGACTGGTTGTGTAAACAGCTTCAGGACGCTTGCTTACTTATTTGCCTCCAACTTCGCCATGAACATCCCTGCGAAGAAAACGACCCTTGATTTGGGAACAATTCAGCAGGGCGAGAAGGAGGGGCTTCGTTCTTACATCAGGCGGTTCAACCTGATGAGAATACAGATTCAAGGGTTACCGGATGAGGTAGCTTATACTGACTTTTTTAGAGGTCTCAAAGACGGGTCTACCTTCAAATTTGATTTAGTTCGAAAAAGGGTGGCGACTCTTCAAGAGGCCTTGATTGAAGCAGAAGCCTATATACAGGCGACTGATCTGTGTACGATAAAACAGTCGGACGGGAAAAGGTTCGACAAAAGAGAAGGACGACAGAAACAGTCGTCTAACAAAGATGAGAAAAGAAAAGAGGTCTGGGCGGTTGATTCCTCTAAACAGCCGGCCCAGAAAAAGAAAAAAGAATTCAAACCATACTCCCCAAAGTATGTGTTTAACAAGGATAACCAGTTTATCCTAAAAGAAATAAAGGGACGGTTCTCAATTGAGAAGCCGGTCCCCATGAAGGGTTCTGCAAACAACCGGAACCAAGACAAAATCTGTGCTTATCATGATGACGTTGGTCATCACACCAATGACTGCATCAGTCTCATGCGGTACCTAGACCGCTTGGCTGAGCAAGGTGATCTTGACACTTATGTCAAGAAATCTACGGGGAACACTTCCTCAAAAAAGCAGTCGGCCAAAAAGAATCAACAGGCCGACAGTTCCGATACAGATGATGCAGTCGTCTACACCATTGCAGGCGGCTTCTCAGGAGGCGGCCCCACTATTAGGGGCAACAAAGATAATATAAGGCGGTTAGATGTAAATTCCGTTCACCAAGAACGGCCGTCCAAATATACATTTCCTGAGATTGTCATCACTGAAGAGGATCTAGGAGGGGTAAGGGGGCCGCATGACGACCCTCTCGTTATTGAATGTAAAGTGGCCAACCAGAGAGTTGGCCGAATCCTCATAGATACCGGGAGCTCCTCAGATCTCATCAGCAGCAAATGTCTGTCAAAACTGAAATATCAGACGGACTGCATACATCCGGCCTCCCACCCTTTAACAGGGTTTGGAGGAGGAGTCGTCCACCCACTGGGACGAGTAGATTTACCCATTCGCCTGGGCGAAAAAGGGGAAGGACGACACATGGTAGTCCGGTTCCTAGTAGTAGAGGAACTCTCGGCCTACAACATGATTCTGGGTCGACCAACCCTGAATAATTCCAAGGCTGTTATAATCCCGTCTCTTATGCTGCTTAAGTTTGAGAGGGATAATGGAACAGTCGGCTCCCTAAGGGGAGATCAGAGGATGGCCCGAGAGTGCTATCTCTCGGATGTCAAGCCCACTGTTATGGCCACTGGGTCAAGTGGAGAAAAAACAGACCTTGACAATGTCAAGGAGAGTGCGCCTGTTCAAGAAACAGGCGAAAAAAAGAGAAAGGCGTCCCAGACAGAGTCCGCAAGAAAAGCAAGAAAATAGCAATCATTGGCAGAGGAGCGGCCGGATGAGTTCCGCCCTCAGCTGGCTGGTGAGCATGCGGACCTGATCTTAGACGACTCACGTCCTGACCGAACAGTCAAAGTTGGGACGACTGCTCTGAGAAACCTTGGTGACGACTTTCACAACCTATTGAAAGAATACAAGGACATCTTTGCATTTG